AGTGTGCTTCAGTGTGCAGCGTGCTCAGCCCCAGCTCCTCTACCTTCGGCCCACTATGCAGTGCCAGAAATGCAAGATCACTGTCCACAGCTGGAGCTGAAACACATGAGCCTGGAAACCCCAGCCTGAGGGATCAGCGCATCTCCTTCCAGCAGGTGCCTGCTCAGCGCTGGATTTGGTAGGATCTCCACGGCAAGGTCACCCATTCATGATTGCTTTTGATTTCCTTAAACGCACCCCTCCCCACTCTTCCCCCTATGGCTACTTTGTTCTTAAAATACAATTCCTTTCTAATTTTGGCAACCCCTTTTTATTTATTTTCTATTGGGTAATTCAAACCAATCAAGACTTAATAATAATCACACCCATTCCTACACATGCATTTTCTCAGTTTTAAAACAGGCTCACTGATAGCGCAAATCCAGGAAACACTGTATTATATTTCTGCATCTTTCAAGGTATTATTCAAATGCAGATAAATTGTTTTAGCAATTTGAAATGTTACTGCAGAGCTTTGCTTTTTTCAGGTATTTTAGAAAAACCCATTCTAGTGAAATTTAAGGTCTTGGGTTATTTATTTAAAAAGCACAACTTGATTATGTTAAACAAAAAAAAAAATCTGCTGGCTCTCTAAAGGATTCAGAGGCCAGACACATACAATGAAGAGACCTCCGTGGCTCTAAAGGAGTCTCTTTGAAACCAGCCACGTTCTTAGGTGCCCTCAAGCAGAGGAGGGCAAGCTTCTAGTCAGGCAGATGGATAGAGATACTGACACACAAATGTGTCCTGGCCAACCTTCTGGTTGGCTTTGAGCAGCCACTGGGGTAGAAAGAGGTCTGGACAGGTGTGTATGGGCAGATGGCCTCCTGGACAGACACCTCCACCTGGAGCACACTGCCAGCCTAGCGGCAGCATGACACAGACCGCTGGAATCCCTCCGTTTCCCTTGCACAGGGCATTATTTCACCTCTTTTATATTCCAGACAAGAACGGTAACATACTTTTGTTGTAGATAATTCATTGTGGAACAGTTTATAGTTGTGTGGTATATAGTGGAAATAAATGTGTTTACAGCAATCACGTATATTAGCTAAATAATAAGCAACACTGAAATAAAGCATTGGGCAATATGTATCTTTGTTTAAAAAAAAAAACAACCTGAAAAATTTCGATCTACAAACACACGGAAAGTGCAGAAACCGGTTAATCTACGTGATGTTTTTGCATACTTTGACAAAGAAGACAATTAAAACAGAAACATACAGAATTTAACCTGATTAAATATTTAGTTTAGTCCTGAGCTTTTGAAATTTAATATAGTATAGATAAACCCATAGTAAAAAAAAATTAAATTTATTTTTTGATTTGTATGCTACAGAGATTCAACTACACTTTGCTCATTTGGCTAGTAATATTCATTGTTTTGTACCTGTAACACTTAAGATTCCGATATACAAAAATTCTAATAACAAACTGATAATTCAAACTTGAGAACTAAACATTAAATTCTTTTTACCCTGTGTGGAATAAATTCTACTTTTTAAAAATAGTATTCATAATATTAAAATTCGTATTTTTCCTTATGGATTTGTGTTGAAGTTAGTAATATGTTTTGTTCACTGTGAATCATTTGGGTTAGTACAAATATGACAGGATTATTAAAAGCTGCCTATAAACACATTATACTATTGCTGATTTTCAGTGTGGGAAAAGAATTACACTAAAATAGGTTTGCTTCTCATGTGAACTGAGCAAGTTTTGTAAAATAAAACCAAAAGCCTCTTGGTCACCACTGTTAACTACCAGCCTGAAACAGATTTTTATTCTTTAATACTTGTCTGAAACTTTTTGTATTCCAAAAAGTTAACAGTTAATCTGATGATGACTTATAAAGCTGTAAATACTCCAATATAGCCTCTTCTATGTCCAACATTTAAAATGGCCAGAACCAAACTATATATTAAACAGAACATAAATAAGACCGTAAATAAATAAATGAAGAAAATAAAATCGTACGGTACAACTACACATAATTCTATAAACATTTCCATGGTCAAACTAAGAAGCTGAAAACAGCTGCCCTTCATTCACTTCACTCCACAGTAAATAAACGTGTTCACAGGCCTCCTCTGCAGGATGAATGATGCTTTGCAAGTTACCTCTGCCATCTCATAGAAGCCGCAGCCTTGGAAGACTGTGCGTGGTCAATTACCAGGCTGCTTTGGGTTCAAAGTAGTGTCATATCTATTCATATCTTTAGAACAAAAATTGTATATAAGTTGTGGAACATGTAGAAAAGAGAATTAAGGTTTTAGGCTCAGTAACTGCTTAATATGAACGTTTGATTCCGCTAACATAAATAAAAATTCTTGCTCGTGAGAGTTTGAGCAGAGGAAGAACTTTTTCAAGGGTTCCTTCCCTTGAAGATGATTTGCATTTCTAAAAAAGACATGATTAAGTCTGCTATATAGCATGGCTACTAACAACAAACATGGTTTCTTTCAGTAAAAAGAGTGGAGGGTATGCTTTAAATGACTGCCAACTATGTTTTCAAGCCTGTGCACCAGCAAGGCTATGTAGTAAGAACTTCTCTCCAGAGTGCCTAGATTGAGTTAGCTAAAACTTCAGCCTGGAGATCAGGCTGTTTTAGTCAGTCAGTTTATGTCGCTAAATTTGTTCACCTATAATAAACTCTGTGTGTGTGTGTGTGTGTGTGAGTGTGCATGCAGTGTACTGCCCACTTAGTACCCTGGCTTGAACTTAGGGCCTGGACCCTTAGCTTTTTCTGCTGGTGCCTTGCCACTTGAGCCACAACTCCACTTCTAGCTTTTTGGTGGGTAATCAGAGATAAGTGTTTCATGGACCTCCCTAGGTAGGCTGGCTTCAAACTGTGATCCTCAGATTTTAGCCTCCTGAGTAGTCAGGATTACAAGTGTGAGCCACTGTGTCCAGGCTAGATAATTTTAAACAAATGATTTAACCTGCACTCCCAATTAGTAATTCTCACAGGTACATTCTTTCCTTTTCCCCCCAACAACTTGCCTTCCATGATAGAGAGAGTTCCCTAAACACGAGAGCTGCAAAGTAATGCCGAATACATGTCAGAAAGTTTGATAAGTCTTGTTTTTTATGTTTGGCAACTTTGATCCAATCCAGACACACCTCTTCTTCTATTCTTGGCTTCCTCCAGTAACTGTGGGAGCCCTCAGCGCACCCCCAACTCTGTCTGTCCACTGTGTACTTGTCCTCAGCACCACTCACCCGAGGACAGAGCTGCGGTGCCAGCTGGAGACTGGCAGAGGAACACTGCGAACTCGCATGTGGGCTGGGCTGTGGGCAGTAGCTGTTCACTGGATGGGTTTTGGGCCCCACGTGCTCTCCTGTCTGCCTCCCTCCCAGTGTCATAATCCACAAGACCTCTGGTGTAGACAGGGACACAGGAAACAAAGTTTCCTTTTCTTCTGCACTCAGTATTTCATATTTTGAGTTTTTTTTTTTGGGGGGGGGGACAATGATACTAAGACAAAAATGAAAGCAAATGTAACACGGGATGGCTGTAAACGGGGGCCCCTTTTGGGTGGACTGGGGAGCCTGGCTCGTGCTCTAGTGCACCCCAGTGGGCCATCACACACGGCTGCTGGCGGCTTCAGTCTATTCCTAGCAGTGGAGGAGGAGGAGGAAGGGGAGAAGCTCTGGCGGGCCGTGTCTCTGAGGCCCGCTGGGTGTACGATGCGGCTGCGCTCGCACGCACGGCCCTGCCACACTCTTTCTCTACATCTGCACCAGATCCTCCCACTTTTGCTAGCTGATTTTTTTTTTCTCCTTAAACATGTAAGAGTTACATTCAAAGTACTTTACAAATGAACATGCTGAAAATCTGGTGTGAAACGCAAGCTCTTCAAGAGTTGACAGTTACGTTACAAAAAAAGGAAAGACGAGATCTCAAACAAAATCAAATGCGGCGTTCCGTGTGTCTGCCCTCCTGAGGGCAGGGAGCGGGCGAGGAGCCACGCGGGGGCACGCGGCCTCACACGTCGTCGGCTGGCAGGGACGGGATGCTGATCTTCGCCCGGGTGAAGTAGGCGATCTTCTCCCTGCAGCCGAGGGGGGAGGGAGGGGAGTCACTTTAATTTGATGCTAAAAATCTGCACCATTGGGACCCAGAACTCCCAGCACTGCCTCTGCTCGCAGTGGTGGGAGGAAACCCCATGGGAAAGGAAGGGCCTTTGCCCTTTGGTGGGGAGGGTGGGAGGGAGGAGGAGGAAGAGTGCTCTGGCTCTGGTCAGGTACTACACGGAGTCCTACATGGGAACTTCCCCATCCCTCCACTGGAAGTTTCCATGATGCCAGGGGAATTCTCTCAAGCCAATCCAAGCTAAATGGGATAGGTGGGTGAGGATGCTGTGGCTCACAGGCAGGGAGAAGAGGCCCTCGACTACCTTAAGGAACAGGCACCCTGTCTTCCACAGCAGGGTAAGAAGGAAGCCGAAAAGGAGCAGCTGAGAGGGGCCGGGAGGAGCGTGTGTCTAGACAGCACTCAGCGAGAGCCGTCAGGGTCATGTCATCACCGCCCTCCGCTCATCGTCATGAGCCCCTTCGGCATGTGTGTCCTGTGGGCCCTGCCAGCTGCCACCAAGGCCAGAGCCGTGTCCCCACAAGGCTTTCCTTCTGGGAACCGAGGTAGCCATTCTGAAGACTACAGCGGAGAAGAAAAGGAGGAGTAAAAATTCAGGACACTGCATGAGAGCTAATGGTTGTTCGGTGTCCTTTAGATTAGTTCAGTTCCAAAATACAAAGATAAGTCAGAATTGCAAAAGACGAGAGAGTGGGCGCTGCTGGCCGGGCTAGCGCCGCCGGGAGCTGAGACTCCCGAGCGAGCAGGCAGTGCGTATCTCACAGAGTTCTCTTAAGTTCTTGTGGGGAAGGGAGGAGGGGAGAGCAACCCACCCCACGCCAGCCCGAGCCAAGCATCGGGCATCATGGGTGCCACCACCCGCCCGTGACATGAGTCTCTGCCACACCTCCTGCCCGCCGTATCAATGGGCTGCTCTCCCCAGGCAAGGAAGGAACATTGGTTCATGTGTCCTTTGTTTTGGGACAACTGAGACATGTAAGATTTTCCACACTTAAACAATGTAGCTTGTTCCGGAAGTGACCGCACTGCTAAAGCATGGATTCCAGCCTCCTCCCGCCCCTTTAAGAAAGTTCTGAAAACCTAAATTTGCTCAAACCTCGGAAGTTATGGAAGTGGTGCCAGGGCAGAATGGGGGAGGGGAAGGCCAACTCTGTCACAGAGTGTCACAGAACACTGGCTCAGTTTCTCTTCCTTCCCTCTACTTCTGCACGCAAGGTGCTGCAATCTAGCTCTGACCCTGATGTCTTCCTGCCAGGCAGCGACTGCTGCCCCTCCTACTTCCTGTCTCCAGCATGTGAATCCACGCAGCCCATTTTCCTCACTGCAAAACCTTCTCCTTGCCTTGGGTTTCGCTTACACAGGCCTAAGGACTCCTCTATTCAAAAATCTATGTCTAGGGGCTGGGAAGGTGGCTCAGTGGTAGAGCGCTTGCCTTGCATGCCTGAGGCCCTGGGTTCGAATCCTCAGCACCACATAAGAAAAAAGCTAGAAGTGGCACTGTGGCTCAAGTGGTAGAGCGCTAGCCTTGAGCTGAAGAGCTGAGGGACAACGTCCAGGCCCAGAGTTCAGGCCCCACAACCGGACAAAAACAAAAACAAAAATCTATATCTAAACGAAAATAAATGCACCACTAAAACAAACCTTTTTATTTCTCTTTTTTGGGATGTGTGTGTATGGAGATGTTGAACTCAGGGCCTTAGGTTCAAGCATTCTACCCCTTGAGCTGTGTCTCTAGACCTTCTTGCTTTTTAAGCTATTTTTCAGATAGGAGCTTGCCTTCCCTGCTTCCCGTGCAACCAGGCTGGCTTTAGACTGTGATCCTTCTACCTATGCCTGGGATTATAGATATAACATAAAGTACCGGCTTGTCTGCTGACAAGGAGATCTCACTAACTTTGCCTTGAACTGGCTGTCTCCTCTCAATCTGTCTCCCAGGTAGCTGGGGTTATAGGCGTTAGTCACGGTGCCTGGCCCTAAACAATCCTTTTTCTGATTCACTTTTTGGCCTCCTCCTTGCTAGGTTCTCTCCCTTCTTATATCTTTTCTGCTATACGCTCTTCAATGACTGCTGGCCTGCAGCTCTCTGTTGGTCACCTTTCTTACTCCCTGGGATGTCTGGCCCATTTCCAACCAAGGGAACCACCACTCTGGGGCTGACAGCTTCCGCGCCTGTCTCTCTGGGCTTGCCCCCTCACCTTGGCTTTCAATGTCAATTTCTGCGGAGTGCTGGTTGCAGTTACCTGGCTCTCCTCCTGGCATGGGTGCCCGGAGGTGGACAAGGCAGGACTCAAGTGTATCTAGTGCAGACCTGCTCTCTGAATGCCCAGTCTTGACTACTGGCTCCTCAAGGCGGCGTCCTCCACTTCATAAATGGCCTCTCTTCCCAGTGTCTCTGTATTCTTGGATATCTGCTTCTCCCCAAAGCTATCCCATCACTGGCCATGTGCTTAGAAAGCCAGTGGGCTTCCTCACCATCTAACACCATACTGCTATTGTGTAGCACAGCACCTAAGGCCGTGGGGCGGAGTCAAGGCGATCTGACTGACAGGCTCCTCTGCTCTAAGCTCCACCCACACACAAGGCTTACGCTCTGGCCTCCCTACCCTTGCGGCTATGCCATGCTGGCCTTTCTCTTCTGATGCCCTATTCAAACCCACCAGCCTCGGAGCCTGTAAATCTCCTTCCCATCCTTCTATGATGGGACCAAATGTTTCTTCCAGTCACTCTGTCTTGATCCTGCAGCCCCCGCCCCACACAGACTTAGATCTTCCTGTGTGCTCTCTCAGGACCCACGAACGCCTTGTCGCTCTGTGTGCAGCAGGGCACCAGTCTGCTTGGCTATCTGTGACCTTCTCACTGGCGCCTTCTAGAGGAGCAGGAACACATGGGCCTCAACAGCGGGATCTAGCACAGCTTAGTGCTGTTGGGGGGGTGATGAAGATGAACTGGGAATGTTTGGAAAGGGAGCGTCTCAAACTCCAAAGAACTGTGACTTCTCTGAACCTTTGTCCCCAGCACTAAGAACAGGGGACGTCAGGCTGTCGCCTCACAGATGTGTTTGCTCACACGGGGGCAGAGGCTTCCACTGCTTCCCCAGGGGGCTTCCTACCACCGTCAGAGCAAGGGAGCCAGCCAAAAGCCATGCTGGGCCACGTACCTGAAGGACTGCACCTGCCGAGGCACCTTCCGGCTCTGCTCCCGGAGCCGACACACGTCCTTGGAGACCTGCCGCATCAACTTCTCTGCATTCAAGTCTTGCTTCTGCTCTTCTTTTGACTGTTCAGCCTGGGCAAGGAAACCAAAATGTGAGAAATCCACACAGAACACTGATTAGAGATCCCTGAAGACATGCCACAGGCTTGAAAGACTGTAGACTAAAAAGTCACACGGTTGAGAGCCAAGGGGGTCTTCTGGCAACGGCTGGGGACAACACAACACATGCAACCACGTTGAGGGGGTAGGTACTCTGCTTCAGGGACAAGTTTATTTTAACTGCATTTAAAATTTTTCATTACACACAATTGTGTATTTTACTGCACTTAGAAAACCTAAGAACCCTCACACACTAAAACCTGCTAGCCCTGTTCCCAAGAAATATCTACCATTAACATTTCAGAAAATAACACCTTCAATCTCTTATTCACCTTTTCAACCCTCTGCTTTATTAGTCTTTTAAAAACTGTCTTACTGAAGTTGAATTTACCTACCAAACAATTGCACATATAACTACAGAGCTCAAAGACTCTTTCAAACTGAACATGCCATGTAAAGATAAAGGAACAGAAGAGATAGCCTAGTTCCCCAGAAGTCTGCCCCGCTGTGCTCAGGGCTTTACCTCAGTTTCTTATCCGTTACTGCTAATGGACACTTATATATTCTGCACAAACATACTTTTAAAAGAAAATGCATGAATACTATTGTATCAAAAGTTGTCTTTTCATTTTATTCTTTCACATATTTATTCAACCATTAAATCAATAAATATTTATTATCTTCTGCCAAAATATGACCAAGTTAAAGAGCTAAGCTAAAATGTTTGCTGGGTCTATATGGTTTGGATTCAAATTCCATTCCTATCACTTTCTAGCTGTAAATTTGGGCAAGTTGCTTTGATCTCCTTGTGGCTTAGTTATTTCATTTCTAAACTGGGAAGAGGTACTCCAAAGGGTTGTCCTGAGGCTTAAGTGAATAATACATGTAACATCAACACATTATTAAATCTAGTTTAGTTATTACTGTTATTATTAGGCAAGGATTAGACAAATGAAGTCTAGTGGAGAAGAAAAACAATACAGAAGATTTGAAATTGTATATAATCATGAAATAAGCTAGGTGCTGGTGGCTCACACCTGTAATCCTAGCTACTCAGGAGGGTGAGATCTGAGGATCATAGATCAAAGCTAGTCTGGCCAGGTAAGTGAAATTCTTATCTCCAATAAACTACTCAGAAAAACCTGAAAGTGGTGCTGTGGCTCAAGTGGTAGAACGCTAGCTTTGAGTACAGCCAGGCTCAGGAGCAAAGCCCAGGCCCTGAGTTCAAGCCCCAGGACTGGCAAAAAAAAAAAAAATCATGAAAATAATACATTGCTAATATTTTCTCAGGCAACAAATCTTGAGAGCCAAGGGTGACCGCTAATGTGGGTGAAAGGCTGGTTGACTTAGCTCCCAGTGGGCTCCTCCAGTATGGGCCAGCCTCTCTCCCCTCTGGCTTGTGTGGTACAAGGATTAAATCTGAAATGTGGTACTGCTGAGTGGAGGCCACTAATCACAATGGTGGCAGCTAAAGCTCTAGATGAAATGTGGGGCAAATTTAGGACATTGGTGCCTGTTTGCTGCTTTTGCAACTGAGAGCAAAGTCTTACAAAAGTCATCAGCTGAGGCCAGAGCACACAGATGACAGAAAGAGGAGTTCTGCTAAAGATGGATGCCTACAGTCTGCAATCCGAATTGATGGACACTCCCATAATTGGGCTCCTTCAGGACCTGAAAAGCTAACAGCTTCTGTCACTTAAGCAGTGACAATCTTTAGAAGGAGATAAGACTGGTGCTGGCAAAAGGGAATTAAAGACTGGTCTTTTCATAATCACCTACTGTCTCAGATACTTTCAAGGCCCGAAAACCAAGAAACAAGGTCTTCAGGATTAACAGACATGACAAAGCCAAGATCTCTGATTGTGGTTCAGTAAAATCCATGCTACCAGCAATTCCTTCATGAGGAGTTTATGCTTTGCAAATAGTACTGTAATCAGAAAGGTGTAAACATGTACATTCTCTTCCATACATAGACCATTCTTTTCAATTACATTGACTAATATGAAAAACTGTTCACTCTTACCAGAATTAAATGAGGGGGTAAAAAAAGCAAATAAGGGACGTGTCTTTTATTTTTGTGTAACTTTTCCAAGGAACACAAACATATAGGTATATACAAAGAACACAGAAGAACTAAAATGCAAGGCATGGTGACAGAGTCAGAAAGCTAGTAGCCTGGGTTACACTGTGACAGGTGAGATCCTGTACAGTGAGGGGGGGGGAGGGAGGGAGGGAGAAAGAGAAGGGAGGGGAACAGGAAGTAAGTGTTAAAAGGCTATATACTGAGAATAGGATTACCAAAGGAATTTTATTTATTTATTTGAACTTGGGCACTGTCCCTTAGCTCTTCACCTCAAGGTAAGCACTCTACCACTTGAGCCACAGTGCCACTTCTGGTTTTTTCTGCTTATGTGGTGCTGAGGAATTGAATCCAGGGCCTCATGCATGCAAGGCAAGCACTCTACCACTGAGCCACCTTCCCAGCCCTGAATTTAATATTTTTTGCTTTACAAAGTTCTGCATCATTTTGCACCATAAGCAGGTGCTACTTTAACTTAATTTTTTTTTTTTTTTAATTTTAAAACAGTCTCAAAGTGGCTGGATTACAGGTGCTTCAAACCTGTCATCCTAGCTATTTAGGAGGCTGAGCTAAGGTCAGGAAGATGGCAGACTAAGGCCAGCTCCGGGAAAAAGTTGCTTCCTCATGTTTGGCCTTGGCCTGTGGGAGGCTCAGAGCAAGAAGACAGCTGGGTGTGGTGACGCACCCTTCCAGCACAACTGTAGAAGGAAGTGTAGAATAGGAGGACTGTGGTCCAGGGAAGCCCCGACAGGGAGCAGGGCCCTGAGTACAAACTCCAGCAGCACAAACATAGATAGATAAATAAATAAAAGTCCACTAAATTACCTTAGATCTAAAAATAGAAATACAGTGATTGCCAGGCACTGGTGGCTCACACCTATAATCCTAGCTACTCAGGAGGCTGAGATGTGAGGATTGTGGTTTGAAGCCAGCCAGGATAAAAGTCTGTGAGACTCTCATCCCCAACTATGCAAAAAAAAAAAAAGAAAGAAAAAGAAAAAGAAAAAAGTCAGAAGTGAAGCTGTGGCTCCAGTGGTAGAGGGCTAGTGTTGAGCACAAAAGGACAGCAGCCAGGCCCAGAACTGGCAGGAAAAAAAAAAAGTGGTGGCACTTTCAAGAAAGATAAGATTTCACAAAAATATGTATTCTGCAAGCATAGGTACAGAATCAGTTACACACACTCTCTCTCTCTGGAAAGTTGAACCTCCTATAATAAGACATCCTTAGTATTTTGCTGATGAGAATAATCCACTGCAATGACTTCTGATTTTCTCTATCACAAAATATGCCCTTTACCACGTTTTTTTAATACCACTCCCCTTTTGCAAAGTTTTGTCTATAAAAGCAGCCTATATTTTAAAGTAATCATTCTTTCAATAGCTTTGTAACTGATGGGGTAATCACTTAGAGCTCATGAATTTATGTAATTCAGGTTCAAGGGGATAAATGTGGTATTTTAGATGCTTGATCAATCCTTGTCTTTAGTAAATGGATGACTTCAACAGGTCCCAGGAAGGCTTAAAATGCACAAAGAAATGTGGTTTATCAAATTACTAAATTAGTAATTATACTAAAGTACTGCTGCTATTCAAATTCTTCCGTCTTACTATAAGACTCAATCAATCTTGAAATAACCATGTGCTGATTGACTCAACAAAACACATCAGGAAAAGCCAAAGAAAGAACACGTATGGTAGACTATATGTACCTAAGACCACTTGACTCAGTCTTTAGCCGGAAATGTATTAAACCAGTTCAGAAATATAATGGGCTGCCGAGTTCGCTTCCATTACATAGACCAGGATTCTACCACATCCCCCAGAGAGCACTATTCTGACTGCTCCTCTAAGTAATCCAATGGCTGCTGACATTTGCAAATACTGTGGTGACTGGAAAATTACTTTGAAACCTGGCCGTATTTTACACAAAATAAGATTGCATGAAGACATTCCCTTTCCTTCTGAATACACACTTCATACAAAACTGTATTAGTCCCAGTGTCTATAGATTTATATCTCTACCTGTATCAAGAACCTTCACTAAAACTCTGGGTGATACAGTGCAGAATTTTTACTGATCAATCATAATCAACTTTGTAGGCAGTTAAATCTCAATACTGAATATTTGACCATAACCATGAAAATTTATTTTTTGTTAAATGAGGTATGTTTATATGTTTGATATGGTTTTTGGTAGGTTCTAATTCTTACAAGTGTTAACATATGTTTTACTTGAAGCTTTAAAAAAGTCTAGCACCACAAAAGTTTGGCATTTGGACAGGCATTTGGATTGGGGGTGGGGTGGGGAGGGGGATTTCTGCTTTGTAAGCAACACGGGCTCCTTTTGAAGAACACCAGTCCTCTCCTGGCAAACAACTCCCTCTTGCCTGGCTCCTGAGGACCAGAAGCCACTCCCTAAGCCCCAGAGGCCAGCCGAGGATGATTAACCTGCAGTTTACATGACAGGAGTCTGACTTGCAGAAAGATCCAGTGATTTACTCACCATCCTGTAAAGAAAGCTAATGGAAACAAGGAAGACAGTCCCATCTTAATTTGCAGTCCTCAGCTTCTGCTCCGCTTCCTAAGGGGGTTGTACAGTACATGCAGACACTAACTAAGATTCACTATTTATGGCAAGCTACAAGAGAGACTTCCAGCCACAGAGGAGGAAGGTTATGGAGTGTGACCCTGACACCTGACAGCTTTCCCTGCCAAAGGAGGCAGAGCCAGGATGAGCTGCTGCCTTCGATTCACTGCTTTTTGGGGAGCCATATTTTTTTTATGGGAACTGGCAGGCTCTTGGCTCATCGTTAGGCACTTTATGATCATCCTGCTGAAAATCTCACAAATCCTCAACACTGTGGGGAAATGGTGGGAAGGAAAGGGTGTGTGTG